AAATTTATAAAGCCCTGGTTATCTATTTAAAAAAATTTTTTTACTATTGTTCAACTATAGTTGTGGCCGTTTTTCTGCCATTGCTCTCCCCTGACCTCCCCACCCCCACCTCCCACATTCAATCCTCCCCCTACCCCTCCCGATTGCTTTGTCCATGGGTCCTTCATACATTCCTTGACTTGACCCTTCCCCTTCTTTCCTCTTTTATTCTCCTCCCCCTCCCGCCTCTGGTTTTCTTTAACAAAATGATTTATATATACATCCCAGGTTTAACTCTCCCAATACCACTACTTTCAGAGTAGAGCAGGACATACACAGGGAGAGAATAATGCTTGATGTAAAGATGAATTTTCCATTGTCAGAAAAGAAGTTAATGATTCAGATTTTTCCTGATTCTGTGGGCATAATAATCCCACTGCCATGAGGAGAAATGCATGGAATTTAGCAGCAGGGATAGATTGATACTGCTCATGGGAGCTGCCCACACTTATTTGCACTTTGTTTTTCTCCCAGTCAAGTAAAGAAGTTACAAAATATTATAACCTTAATTTTCAGTTCTGAATGTCTCAGTTGAACATAATCATGGAGAAAACAAGGACATCGTTCAAAGGTTGAATTTCTTAGGGGGTCCCATTACACAGACATAATTATGGTTTTGATCCCGAGTCCATTATGAAATCTAAAAATTATGACTTTTTCTTGGGAGTGAAGCGTCGTACTAATTCAAGGTAGTATAAGACTTTTCTTCCTAAAACCATGACTCAGCTCACTAGAAACAAAGTCATTTTCTGGTAACATTCACATGTGCTTCCTAAAAGGATACAAAATTGAAGTCACCTTTTTGCATTGAGCTCAAGGCTCAGGAAATAAATGCGCACACACAAACACATGCGAAGATAGTGAATATTGTAGAACCAGAGTTCAGTGTAGGAAGCGTGGATAATTGTAAAACTCTGGACACACAGTGTAGGTGGCGTGGATAAAACCAATGTACAGTGGAAAGTGTTACTGGAATAACTACAATGCTAAAGAGAGATTTCAAGAAATATGGGCAGCTTGCTGGGAGAATTCTCAGTGCCCAAGTTGGCCAAATGGAAATCACAGGATCTTCTTCCCAATCCTTCCATTTCATCCTCTCTGATATCCAAAAATATCATCAGGAAAAAGAGTGCTTTTTTACTACCCAATTTCCTTTCTGGCAATTTTATACCATTTTGGTAGAGGAAGATACATAGTTTTGAATACTGTAGAATTACATCATAGATTTCTCCTATACTACTCAAAACTTGTTCAAGATTAGACTTCATATATTTTCTAACTCTAGGTTTTTCATTTATGCTATTGAACCACCTAAATACAGTTGAGTGATCAAAAGAGATTTCACTGAGTTTTTTTTGTTTGTTTCTTGTTTTTACAAAATTAGTTTAAATTTAAAATTAATTTAGGATAGAATCTCTTCTGATTCCTAATTTATCTTTTTCATTTTCATTTGAGAGACACCCATACATTTTCTAAAACATGTTGTTTCAAATGAGATATGGTAAAGATATAAAATTGAGATTTTTTTTTTTTTTTACTTGGAGGCAGGATACATGAGGAGGAGAAGAGATAAGGAAGAATAGAAAAAGTCAGTGTTTTATCCGTCTTCTAGGAGCATGTCAGAAACATCCCAAGGCACATTGAGCTCTTCCCTTTCTCGATTTTTCATCTCCTTGGCTCTTCCCATGTCTAGGTCCTTCTTTTTTTTTAACAGACAGCTCAGATATCTTCTCCCCAGAGAGGCCTCTCTAACTACCCAGTGGAACCTTCCCCTAGTACTCCACCCTTCTATAAGCTGTACCATTTAGGCCTTCATAGTGCTGATAATTCATTTGTTTCCATGCTTATTATTACTCATTTGCTCACATGTTTATTCACTTCTTTATTTCCTGAGTCCCCTGATTAAAATATGAGTTCTCTCAGGGCAGGGTTTTACCAGTGTTATTCGCCTGTATATTCTTGGCACTCAAACAGTGTCTAACATATTAGATGTTCCAGGTATTTTTGTTGAATGAAGAATGATAAGGCTCTGTACTTGATCCAGAGGGATCTGCTCAAGTTTCCCCACACTCACTGACCTCGGGATGTCCTTTACATACACAGCCTTTGCATTCCTGTCTCTTCTCCACTTTTCCTGCTACAGATCAATGCCGTAAAGTCCCCTCTTGCTCTGCCTCCCAAGACAGTATTCCTCTTTATATCTTTTCTCCTCTATCTTGCTGGAGTCTTAATATTCCTCCTCTCTCAATTACCAAGTGATCCTAAGTAAAGTGATTAAGCAGCTCCATGCCTCTGTTTTCTCATCTAAAAATGGGTGAAAACAGAAACAAAATAATTGTAGCTTCTATCAGTATGAAACAGGATAATCTGTATAAAACATTGAAAGAGCCTAAAAATTAACAAATGCTAAGTAGTCATAATTATTCCCATGCATTTGGGCAGTTAATCAAAATGCTACCTTTTATTTTAATGTCTTGAGTGTATTTGTTTTCTGTTCCATCTGCCTGCTTGTGTAGTGGCTAGCATAGCATCATGCTTACAAATAGGCAACTCAACAAATAGTTGTCTGACTGCTCTTAACAAACGAAGAGGGAAAGAGAAGTAATGAAGAAAGGTGACCAAGTAGGTGAAATATTTTATGAACTCAATTATATTTACCTCATATTGTTCAAATTTCGATGAACAAATCTTAGTACTTAAAATTCTGTATTTTTGTGAGTAAATCCAACTTAGATTTCTACTTTTTCTCAGACACCGTCTACTTTCAAATGAACACGCTTCAAATCTGTCACAACCTTGAGGAATATTTTATCACTATTGGCTAGAAAGCAATTGAAATACTATCTGTCTTCTGTTTGATTTTACCTAAACGGTAATTCACAGGTCCATTGGACTGTTGCCCAGTTAACAGAAAATAAAGCAAAATGATACGAATTTCTATCTTACAGAAATATAAGTAATTTGGCAGGTGAAGTTAATAAACAATAGGTGAAATGGAACAAATTCCACCAGCACACATTTATTGCACTTAACAAGGGGTGTGTCATTGGCTTCCCTTCTCTATCCTATAGAATTCCAACAAGTCAAATTTCTCCAACTGGCAAGTTTTCAGTGTTGATGTAATGTTGCCTGTCCCTGGACAGCTGAGCTCAGCAGCTCCAGTTCCATTTTCCTTTCCAAAGGATAGCTAAAGAAACATTCTTTGGACAAGTGTAATATGTTTGCTACACTTCAAGAAATTTTTGTTCACATTTTCCTCTATAACTCTGTTTATTGTCCCATGATTTCTGTAGATTTCATTTATTTGGAGCCAGGTGCCAAATATAGTAAAAAGAACAATGTTCAAACTGGCCCAGGGTAATCTAAAGGGGTTTCATGGATCTGATGTTCCAGCAAAGAAATTTTTACCTCATGTGTGTGCAGAGTTTAGTGCACCATTCAGGCATTACTCGCTTGACTGTTATTCAGTATGGGAGGGTTTCTCTTTCTTCTTCTTCTTGACTTGTAAATAGACAATGTACTCAGCTGATATATATGTTAGTTCTTTGACAAGCCCTCTTTTTACTTTTTTATTGTATTTTTTTCCATTACCATTTATCCCCCCATCCCCTATTCCACCTCCCCACAATCACCACATCACCACGCTGTTGACCAAATCCATGAGTTCTCTTTTTTCCTTTTTAATTCAATCTCTCCACCACTCCAATCCACCCCACCCCAGCTGTCATATGTAATTCCCAGAACCTTATTTTTCTTACAACGTACCCTGGACATCCTTCTAGGTCAATAGCTAAAATCTAGCTCATTATTTTTAACATCAGCAAAATATTTTAGACATTTTTCAACAGTGAAAAATTTAACCAAGATATACATCATTTTAAGAGACAACATATTCGCCCCCTGCACTATCATGAAGTACAGTTTTTTGTAGTTTGATATGTAGAACTGCAGAGAGCGTTTTCTTTCTTTTAATATGGTGGCTAACTATAATTCCATACTGTGCATAATTCTTGCGTTGCCTAATGCTTTTTTTTCTTTCTCATAGAATTAAGTAGTTGTAAAAGGATTGACATATGAAAACACATCCTTGCTGTTTTTAAAAATTAATTCAAGGAGAGGCCTATCTTGGAGAAGTTTTGGGATGAAATCTACGGGGAGCGGTGGGATGGAGGTGGAAGCTCTTTGTAAATGGCAAGAGAATCTTTCTCATTTCTTCTATTGTCATTCAAGTCTTTGGGGGAGGAAATAATGCAGCGCACCCAGCCTGTAATTCTTGCACTTTGAGGTTAAGCCTGAACCACCCCCTGCTCGTCCTTCCACCAGCGTGGCAGCCCGTCTGAAAGAAGATGGGCTGAACATTCACCAAGTTCCGAAGCATCCAACCCCAGACACTTGAAGCTGGTGCCATGTCCGGGCTCCAGGGGCTGGAGGGAAGAAAAACGGCTGAAAGCACAGACTGCTATGGTGGCGGGGTCTTCTTGCCCTTCATCGCTGCCCCATGTACACAAGCTCTTGCCAAAGTCCCGGATGCCCAGCGAGGGGCATTCCCATACCTGCATGCACGCAGAGTAACCTGCGCACACCCACACGCCCAAAATTCAGAAAGCAGGGCACATTGACACCCTCTTGCAACAAGACTCCCCCATTTGGAGCACTTTCTGCAGAGCAGGCAAGCGCTTCCCTTGTTTTCCTCCCCTCATTTTCTAAGTTGCCAAACCTAGGTGACGCGTGGCTGTGACTCGAGCCTTCCTAGTGTTGCCCTGGGACCCTGAGGCACTCCTGCGTGTCCAAGAGACGCGCGAGCATCTCGCGCTCCTCCTGAGCTCCAAGCGAGGACAAAGGGGATCTGAATCGAGTAAAGGTTCGGCGGGTTTCGGGGTGATCTCCTGGGTTACCTGCGAGCAACGTCGTTGCGGGCAACCCGGGGACTCCGCGCCCTCCCATTCCCGGGGTGTGCTCACCATTTGTAGCCTCTGCCGCGCTTGAACTTGAGGGTGAGCGCAGTCTCCAGAAAGAGCAAGAGGGTGAGCATCGCAAGCAGCCAGTACCTCGGCTCCTCATATACCTTGGCCACTCTCCAGACCCCAACCAGCGAGTGCAGTAAGAACAGCAGCCGGGTGACCAGCGCATTGAACAGGACCAGTCCCTCCATGCCGGCCGGTGCGCTCTGCCCTCTCCGGTCGCCTGCGCCCCGCAGACCCCGCCAGGAGCAGCCGACCCCGCCCGTGGGCAGGAATGTGACAGTTTCGGGACCTGCTGCCACTGTCGTTCCTCCACACCCTCCCGCGCGCTTAGAACAGGAGAGAGCGGCTCGCCCCTCCCCCAAACTTCCTGAGAACTCTTCAAAGAGCTGGAGACTCGAAGCCCAGTTTTCTAGACTGCGGGGCTTTCCCGGGAGTCAGGGGCGCGCAGTCCCAGCTCCTGGGCGTTATTCTCCAGGGCTGCCCATCCCCTTCCCAATCCCCGGAGCTGGTCTCCATCTCTGTCCTCTACCCACTCCACTACCAACCCCCTTCACACACCGCTGCCTCCTTGGAGTCCCCAAGAACTTCCTCACTCCAACGGATTGGAAAGAGGAGAGAAGTGGACTGAAGGTCAAGATGCTGCATAGCTAAAAAGGGGGAGGAGAGCTCATCTGGGTCATCTTCTTGCTTTTCCACTGAAATAACTTTAACTCACTGTCATTTCTTATGAGAAAAAGCGCTCAGGGTTACTCTAAACTGAGAAGAGCCAAGAAATCTGCTGTCCAAGCAGTTTTAGAAACGCGGTTCCTTCCCAGTTTGAAGAACTAAAACTTTCAATGCATAGAACTCAGACACGCTGGGCTTTCTGAGAGTTCTTTGCACCTCATAAATGGGTAACCCGGGCCACTTCTGCTCTGCGAACACAGTGTTACTAAAGAAAAATAGTTTTTATCATGTCATCTGCCACCCCCACCAATTTTTTTCTGAAAGCATATAGTAGCAAGACAAGAAGGCAGAGGGGAAATTGAGGGAGGAGACTGAAGACAGAGCTAAGAGTTAGAGTAGGAGAAATTCATGGAGCAGGGAGCTAAGCCTTGAAGCCAAGGACCAGGAAATTAAACTCTGGTCTTTCCAGCATCCAGGTCAAAGAGCAAACTGAAGTCAGGGTTTTGCAAAATACCTTAATGATCTTTGTTTCCCTGTTTGGTCTCCTACCACTGGTGCCGCTATTTACTTAACATTTTTCTTTAAATGAACTCAAATTTATACAGAAATAATTTTAAAAGGAAAGTTTATACCGCTGGAAAATCAGTATAGAAGGCTATAGATGAAAGGTAATTACAAAAACAACTAAAATGAATCTAAGTTACTGAAACGTCCCTAGATATTATTGTTTTCCAAGGCTCTGTGCCTCAGTATCCCTCTTTCTGGGGAGAAAAGCAAATGCTACTACCAAGCAAATACATTACTACCAAGCAAGAATGCTTTTTTTGACCACATGGGTAAAATTGAAAGAAAAACACAAAGGCAAACCTTTTTTGGTTAGTTTTATTCAACTTAAAATCATACCATACCTCTCTTAAAATTAGGTTGAAAACTCTGAATTAGATGATTAATGTCTTCTTAGGGTAAAAAAAAAAATACAGCTGCTTAGAAGAAGGTACTGTGAATAGGGAGACTTTTTTCTTTTTGCTGTAGGTCTGCATTCTCTCATATCTTACAGGAAGCCCAGCAGTGATTTCCTGGGGCTGCTTATGGTAGTGCCCTCCAATGTAGGCTGATGGCATAGTGACCTGTGACTACACACTGTTGTATGAAGCAGGAGAGCACAGTAGACCACCAGTTCATCAGGGAGCAGCACGGAGTGGACATCAGAGCCATAGCACCCGGCCTGATGGCTGCCTTGGATTCCTGGCCTCGCCACTTTGTAATGTTGTAAACTGTGTACCTCAGTTTCCTTATTTGTAAATGGGGTGCTAAGGTTATAGACTCACAGGGCCATTGTTGGGATCAAATGAGTTAATCCATATAAAGCATCTGGCAGGTAGTAAGTGCTTGTTAAATGCTGGTGATTATTTCCTGGACCAATCAAAGCTACTCTTAGATTACCAGAGACAGTAATAGGAGTGGAGCAGAGAAATGTGACATTCCTGAGGTCTGTCAAAACCCTCCAACTGAACACTACCAGGAGAACAGATGAACAAGTTGGGTTATTACTCTTTTAGAGAGAAGAACACACTCCATGAAGAACCATGGGGCATCTCAATAGGAAGGTGTTGAGAGCTTAGTAAGGACTTATTAGAAAGGATTTGGGCTGGTGTTAAGTGATTTTGGGGAGGGCTTAAGAAAGTGGGCCTTTGCTCTAATTGGATGATATCAGGAGGTGGAGTTAATTCTATGACTGAGTGTCTTTGTAAAGCTTTTTAGGTAGAGGAATGTTTGTTTGTGTTTGTTGTTTAAATGATAGTCATCTTTTGTCTGTGTTTAGACACAATTGCAGAGTGGTCCTGTGTTTGTCTTGACCTATCACACTCAGAGTGGCCTTACTTGATGTTGCTGTTCCATGAAATTTTTGTGTTCAACGGAAGGGTACCAAGGCCCAGTTGATGGTACTAGACTAGTTGCCTGCTCTTAGGGATAGCTTTTCTTTTACCCAGCCTCCTAGAAGGGCCCTCCAGGAAAAGGTTTAAATAAAACAGGGAGGTCAGCCTGATCTCTTCCACACATCTTTGTTGTTCCCTATTTTGAAGGTTTAGATTCATTATATGTCCTGTTATCTCTGGATCTGGAAAACAAAACTGTCACTAAAGAGAACATTAAGGTTATTTATTTGTAATTTTCTCCTAAGCCCATTTTAGAAGACTGAAGGCTTTGAGAAATATCTTGGAACCTCCAATCCAATAGCCCAATAATCTTTTAAAAAAGAAAAGAAACTAACCAATTTGTAAAAAAAACTATCTTTTTTTTTCCTAAAAAGAAAAAAAAGAGTGAATTATTGTTACTTGGTGGGGGGGACAGGGGGGGTGAGGGGGAAAGCAGTGTTGGCTTCATGCAACAGGCTCCTGCGGTACAGGCCGGGATAGCACTAAGGTGGAATCAGTTCCTCCCATTGTTTGAGAGGCAGCAATCACCAGGCCTGTCTTCCTTTCTGAATGCAAAGTGAACACAGTTTTCAGGATTGTCTTCAATTAGAGTGATTTTGGTTGCACAAAAAGTCTTTCTCAAGTTAGCTCAAAAAAGGAGTAGTTATTGAAAGGGTACACATGACCCAACAAGAGAATTGTAATCCTGTGGAAATCAAGCCTGGAGGGTGTAATAGGACAGGACCTTGGGCACCTGGAGCAAGAGGGCAGCTGTGGATTTGGGTGGCTCCAGCATCACATGGTTGCAGTTTGTGGACCTTTCAGAGCGACTCTCTCACATTGTTGTTTTTCAGCCAACTCTTTCCATAATCTGAGTTCAAATTACTGGGAAAATATGTTCAATTGAATCTCTTCAATTCTAAGTACAAGGTCACATTGTGGACCACTGACAATCATTAGTCATTGGCCATTCCCATATAAAGACCAATTTAGTGCTTTCTTTATTCTTCAACATGAGGTTCTGGGCAGGGCAGTTTGAGCAGAAGGAGGAAGGGATAGCAGGCACATTGACTGACACATCAAGTGCCATTCAGCCCCAGGGTGACATGCATACATCTTGTACCTACAATGCCAGAGATTTCCCTGACCTAAACATTCTATATACAATTATGGGCCCACCTATGGCTCCCAACAGTGATGGAATCCAAGATCACATCTGCAACTGGCAGCCACTAAAGCTGCAGGTTGGCCTCAAAAGCCATAGCTTCTTAGTAAAGTTCATTCCTACCTTAGTTCCGTTTTGATCCTGTTAGACATCACTCTTATACATACTCAAATACATATGTGTGTGTGTGTGTGTACATATAGAACATAATTTATTGGAAAAAAATTATACACTATAGGAGAGTACATTCTATTCCCTGGAGGAGTTATTCACAATTATTACCTTCCATTTTTATTTTTTCTGGTAGTTACAACTATATCTTTTAAAAAAAATCTATATATCGCCCAAGAACTGATTTACCAACTTACAAAATGTTGAATGCTCAATTTGAAGTTAAAGTGACAAATACTCTTACAATACTTCCTTACTTCCTCATTCCACTTCTACTACCCAAATTTTAATAGTAACAAAAACATTCTGTTTTTTAGCTATCATTAAATCTACTGTTTTGTCAATTGGTTAATCCTAAAAATTGAAAATCAATTCAATGTATTTTTCAGATATAATATATGTTCCTCCTAAACTTGGAAAACAATCATTCTTTTCTAGAACCCAGTGTTACTGATGAGGAGTCTGATGTTCATCCCATTGTCTTTTCTTTGTGGATGAGTATTTTTTAACCTCTGAAATTTCTAAAGATTTTTGTTATCCTTGGAATGCTTATCATTTCAATGTTTCTAGATACCAGGCTTTTTTATATATACTTTACCAGGTGCAGTATTCATGTCTTTATTTAGACAAGTCAAGCTTTCTGTTTTCTCTTTGATAATTTCTTCTTTATTGTTTCTCTTTGCTCCTTCTGAAATGTTTTATATTTCCTATCCTTATCTTTTTTTTATTTATGTGCTGGTAAAGCTCTTTAATGTTATTTTCCAGATGACATTAAGAAGCTCTGAACAAATTTCAGATGATTTTACTTTATTGTTCAACTCTATTAATGATTGTTTTAGTCAACCTCTTTTGCAATAAGTCTTTCTAATTCATTGAACCCTGTTTTCCCCCCATAGTATCTTGTTCTTGTTTGATGGATGCAGTACGTTTTTAAATTATTCAGAAATATTGCTCATAACTTTTTAATGACTTTGTCTTGAATTATTTCTGTTTGCATTTGTTGGTTACTCAGTTTATTCAATTCCTTCCTTCAATATCAGGATTTCATAATCTGGTAATCCTCAAATGAACTAACGATCCTTTGTTCTTTCATATTTGCAAATAAAGAACTGGACTGACTAAAAGACATAGCTGGTATAAGTGTTCTGAGTTGCATCTGTCTATCAAATAAAGGAACTGGCTATGGTCCTAGTGTTTGGGCAAGATACACCTATTGGTCAGTGTATCTTCCCTGTGGAGCGCAAGGAGAAGCAAGCAGTGTTGGCAATGT